TATTGTGGCCACTTTGTCCGTCCGTCCGTCCGTCCGCTCGTTTTGCGACGCTACTAGTTCTTTATTTTAAGAGCTATTGTTCTACTTTTTTCGCTATTTGGTTCGTTATGGTGTCGAGTCTTGTACCAAGGAAGGAATTTTTTCTGTACCGCTTACAAAAAAAGTTATTGGTAAAAAAAAACAAAAAACCGTTTTTTACATGTTCCATAATTTTACACTTTTACACGTTTATTAACGATCCTAGAGATCGTTTATAATTTTGCATTGCTATCTGTCGCCTGCCGGTTGGTCTCTCCGTCTGTTCCTTTGTCTGTCTGTCCATCTATCTGTCCGTGTGAACGATAACTTTGTTTAGAAATGTTCGATCGGTTTTACATCTCCGTTAGTTATGAACTGAATTGCATGAAATTCAATATGGGCATAGCTTTAACCATATAATACGCAATGCCAAAAGTTGAATCGAATCGATTCAAAATTCACAGTGCCCTTTTCGCATCTCGACCATTTATAAACCGAATTGCAAACTTTTTACTTATAAAAGTATTTGAATGAAATTTGATACATAGGCACTTGGAATAAAGGAAAATCAAACGCCAATTTCAAAATTTGGTTTTGCGCATGCGCAGTGCCAAATTTTTTATTTATGGAAGAATTTAAACGAAATTTGATACATAGGCACTTGGAATAAAGGAAAATCAAACGCCAATTTCAAAATTTGGTTTTGCGCATGGGCAGTGCCAACTTTTTTATTTATGGAAGAATTTAAACGAAATTTGATACATAGGCACTTGGGATAAAGGAAAATCAAACGCCAATTTCAAATTTGGTTTTGCGCATGCGCAGTGCCAACTTTTTTATTTATGGAAGAATTTAAACGAAATTTGATACATAGGCACTTGGGATAAAGGAAAATCAAACGCCAGTTTCAAAATTTTATATTGCGCATGCGCCGTGCCAACTTTTTTATCTATGGAACTATTTAAGTGAAATTTGATACTTAGGCGCTTGGAACAAAGGAAAATCTAACATTAGTTTTAAAATTTAGGTTTGCGCATGCGCAGTTCCAACTTTCTTATTTAAAAAAGCATTGAAATGAAATTCTTCTCATAAACTGAAATTGAAGTAGCACGTCAACAATGGATTGCCCATGTGCAATGCTATCTTTCATATTTGTGGCCGGATTTCTACGATTTTAACAGAAGTTGCATCTTACAAATGGGAAATGAATGCAAGTGGAAATGCGCTTTATGTAAATCGTTTACGATTACTTTTTAACTTGTTTTTCTTGATATAATGACACGCTTTAATAAAAGCGTTGCTTCTGCCGAAAAATACAAGTATTGTGATTTAATTTAATTTTTTTCACAACGTTTACCGACTACATATTTGATTAAATGCTCCAAATTCGTTCCTTTCAAGCTTAGTTAACCGATCATGCAATTAAAAGTGACGACTACAAAGATAGAAGGTGAGGGAGGAATGGACGCACTATCATCTTTTCTGCGCAGTATTTCCAACAATGCACTGCATTCTTTAATTCGTCTTCTTGAGAGATTATTGACATAGGAAGGGCAATTAGGTTTCATTAATTGTTTTCATATTTATATGAATGAGCTTTATACAGGGTGACAATTTGAAAACTTACCACCCCCCATATCTTAGTAAATAAACGAGATATTTAAAAAAATCAAAATCCGTTTCGGTAATTCGGAGGGGGAATTACAATGACATAGTTGGCGACGCACCCCCTCCAACCCCCTGCGCCCCAGCTACCCCAACTTTTAAATCTTAAATAGTGACCCCCCATGTGTGATACGTCGTTGGAAAGCTCTGAAAAAATGCTTTCCAACATTACATTTAGGTTAGTAATTATCGTGCAAATCAAAAAATAAACTAATATGATACATTTGAAATCTGTCGTATTTAAAACGCAACCGGCGAACATAGACGAACTTAAGACAGAGAATAATTCAAGAATGTCGAAATATTGCAAAACCAATATTTGAAAAGGTTCGACAAGAGTTTGAGAATAGATTATAACTGGCGATCAAAAATGAGTTGCTGTCGAGTCGGCTTTGGAAGTTCAAGTTAAATACGATTTTCCATGTAAACAAAAATTTCAAAGGGCGACTCCACAGCTACTCATTTTTGATCGCATAGTAATACTGTCTTACCAATAACGGAAAACATTTTGAACATTTATGGAAATAAAAGCCAACTTTAGAAAATGTATCATATTAGTTCATTTTTTGATTTGCACAATAATTACTAAACTAAATGTAATGCTATTTGGTATGGTTGGAAAGCATTTTTTCAGAGCTTTCCAACGACGTATCACACATGGGGGTCACTATTTAAGATTTAAAAGTTGGGGTGGCTGGGGCGCAGGGGGTTGGAGGGGGTGCGTCGCCAACTATGTCTTTGTGATTCCCCCTCCGAATTACCGAAACGGATTTTGATTTTTTTAAATATCTCGTTTATTTACTAAGATATGGGGGGTGGTAAGTTTTCAAATTGTCACCCTGTATATCGTTAGAATTAGTAATGAATGATTACGTGGCCGAACTAAAGCTTAAGCGCTTAAATTCCGTAAGCGAACGTGGCATTGTTAGGAGAAAGGAGTTGTATTGTTGATAGTCACAAGGGAGGTATTAAAGTCTACTTGTAAAGCTCGTAAATGAATACGCTTTCGTATAAGGGTTGCGCTATGTAATACTTCTTAATTCAAGGGGTAAATATTAAACTTGATACCGCGAGCCATGGAAATAAACGTAAATATTTTCACAGAAAACCATCTACGTTTAATTGTAATTTATAATCATAGTGGTGAAATAGTTTGTTCCATTTGCAACGTTCACCTCGCCAACGTTCCAAAATACTCGAATTCCGTCTTTCTGTATTGCCTGGTGGCGAAAAAATTAAAGAAGAAACCTAGACTGTTCGAAGCGATTTCAACATTTTGTTGATACTGATTGGAGTAACTATAAGAACAGAAAACAGGTGTCTTGAAGTGTTTGTTGTTGTGTTGCTCTATATTGATGCCCACGGTTAAAATAAAGGAAAGGATATTTACTGCCGTAGATTATTTTCTGCGATAAACGCACAAAATAGAAAGGAATTACGTATTTCACATGAGAAGCCTTTTTTGTTGGCTCCATTTAAACAATGTTTCATTTCTACTTAAATGATGGTCTCCACGTTGTGTTATTTGCAGTAACATCCATTCAATCATTATAAAATCTCAAAAAAAAAGCTTGACCTCAAACAAAACAGTGGCAACAACAACAAAAAATTCGTTAAGCCGCCTGGCTTCATACGGACTTAATTTTAAGTTTTTTCTAAATCCTCTTTGTCATGGGTGGTTGATTCTTTCAACTTCCCTTGTTTGCTAGTTCCGACAGGAACTTTGAATCGATAGCTCTGGTAGCTGTTCGCGAGCTAAACCTTTTGTTGTATATATTCATTTACACAGAACCTTACAGGTACTATTTATTTCACAAATATATACATTATTTACAACACCCTTTAATACAAATTGAGCACTACTAACGTTTATGAAAGATCTTTGAGTGGACCTACTTCGATTGTAGTCGAAATGTGACTGATTTGAGAAGTTAAAAGTGGGCTAATTAACACCTAAAACTAAGAACATTTATTGCACCCATACGGGTTGCAATACTAGAGCAAAGGACCGCATGCAAGCGGCTCCTTTGCCTAGTCACGTATTACATAACTTAAAAATTAGGGTGACAAGCGAAAAACAGAAAGAACACGGAAGTCATAAATCGAAGTAAGCATATGAAATTTGTAAAACCGCACAAAGCTTGTGAAAGATTAAGAAGGAATAAGTTCTGAAACAAACAAACATAAATGGAACTTATTCTAACTTAACAAAAATAATAAATTAACAATATAAAAACCGGCGCCGTCTAAATTGACAACAGTACCTATCTTCGGAATATTTCTCTACTTCGTTGTTTGGTTACAATGCATTCGTTTATTTTTCTTGTTGATTCTTCTGTTGAATAATTTGTTCAAATTCATAAGCATGTTGGGGTAATTCTGTTTATTACGCACTTTTAGCTTTCAGTTGGCAAATGTGTGCAGTATACATATTACCAAACTTAATTATTTATTATATACATATTTATTTTTGACAAAACGGGCCCCGTTACAAGATATATGTATACTCAACTCGTGCAGACGAACTTGTTCTAACGTGACCACGTGCCCAGAATATTGCAATAAGCTCTTTTCGGGCTGATTCCTATTATAAAAAAGATTTGGTGATAATACCGAGTTGATACGTTTTGAGCTGTCAGAAGACATAATTATTGAGATTCAATACCATTAAATTTACCACGTGCTTAAAACTATGTGAATTAGCAGGAAAAATCAGAGAAATGTATTCAAGTTCAACGAATATTCCTGTTCTGTTCCTTTTGGATTCAATGTATAATCGAAATCATTAACTAAAAGGTTTGCCAGATATGTAGATCACGTAGCGAACCTGATAACAAAACAAAGGGATGTTTTAGAATTTCACATTATTTCATATTATGCTAAATTCCACGGCTTTATCGACGAAGGGGATAGTTACCTGAGCTTTTCCAAAGGGAATTTCCGTTTAGTTAATTGAACGTTGTATCGTATCGATTATATCTTTGGCATTTACACGTGATGTTAATTGCCTTCATCCTTTACGAACCGTGTGTTACCTGCATGAATCAATTAAATATCTATATACAAAAGATCTATTGCACCCTCTAGAGCGGTTTGTAGCAAAAATGAGAATATTTCTACTAAAGTCACTGTGAGCGCTTTCTTGTGTTTGAATTACCTTCAGGACTAAATGTCTGCCAATGCATGAACTGTACTTTTT